TAAATTGGTGTTATTAGTTTACAAACCGTGCAAACGAAAACTAAGAAAGGTAATACAGCATTGAGAGGAGTCAATGAAACATTATGATCTAAATATCGTATAAAATATTGTTATTGTTTGTTATATTTTATTTATGTTTTCTTATTAGTGAGGACACTTAAAGAACAAGTATATCAAAAATAAATTAAATCAGGTACCCAAATTTATCGATGTTGGTTATTTAATTAGGTGAAAAAACTAAGTTTGTAAACTTGAAATTTGAAGCTTTTAACATGTAAAATAAGAGTTAATTTTTTCAATTAAACTTTTGAAAATTTTCCAAAAATCAAGCTTCTTTAAGAAACCTTTATAGCTTTTTAAAGCCATTTGTTAGTAATGTAGGTATTCTAGGATTTTGATTCTATTATTATTTTTTATATAGCTTACAATACAATGTATTAATATTGCATAACAATTAGTAATAAGAATTAACATTTAAATTTTTTTTTTTAAGTACAATTTGTTATTCAGGACTATCTACATGATAAAATAAAAAAGCAAATAAATTGTAGGTGTACGAATAAACAAAGTTAAATTAAAAAACAGATGCACAAATAAAAGAAATAACTAGTGAAATTACATTGGGGAGGTTGAGTTGAGAATTTTGTATTTTTTTTTTTATAACTTTTTGGATATTGCCTTTTTATTGCATTTCCTCTATTATTCTTTAATATCAATCATCCTATCTGCTTGTGAAATATTTTTATGCTACAGATAAATATTTACATTAACTATCTTAAGTGATAGTCAAGCGGCTTTGAAAGCACTCTGTAACGATCAGGTGAATTCAAAGCTGGTCCTCGAATGCAGGGAAACTTTAGAATCACTATCGAGGTTCAACAAAGTTACACTAGCGTGGGTACCAGGACACAACGGTGTCACTGGAAATGAGAATGCTGACTTTCTAGCCAGGAAAGGAGCAGAGAACACCTATGTTGGACCAGAACCAGTGGTAGGGCTCACTGAGCAATCGCTCAAAGCGTTACCCAAGAATTGGTGCAGAGAACAACACAGGAAAATCTGGAAGTACTTGGTAGTACCTAGACAATCTAAAATGTTTATCAAGACCCCTGGTTTATTGCTGGGTGATCTTAATAGCATGACTAGACATCAAATAAGCACCCTGACTGGTCTACTGACAGGACATGGTCACCTGCTTAAGCATCTTAACGCAATGGGGGTATCGGAATCACCATTGTGCAGGAAGTGTGGAGTAGAAGAGGAAGACTCATTTCACATCATGTGCGAATGTGAAGCCTTGTCCACACTAAGATCAAACTACTTGAATAAACCATTTCCTAAAAAAGAGGATATTAAAAACGAATCAAGACAATTCGGTATGAGGTGCGCACAATGGACCAACAGGTCTGAGTGCATGGGCATTATGTCCACCTCAATAATAACTAAAACTAAAACTAAAACTAAATATTTACATCTTTTAAAAACACATTCAGTTATATCTCATCGTTTTCACCATAAAAGAGTGGTGTTGCGAACTTGTTGATTGTGGTTCTATATCAATGGTATTGCTCTCTTTTAGATTATTGATATTTTTATTTTATTGAGCGATCTCAATTATTTATTTTAAATCCGTGTCATCATTGATGAATTGTCTGAGTAACTCATATTGTTGACAGTTTGTGTTTTCTAGATCACGAATTTTTTGGTTTTAAATGCTATTTGTTTACTTTTGAAAAATTTCTGTCAAGTTGTTCCATTTTTTCCATAACTATGTCCATGATAATATCGCACTAATTGCTTTGATGTGGCATTCTTGTGGTCGAATTGAATATATTATTGGATTATTTTTGGAAATTTGAGCTTTCAGTGGGGCGCCATTTGAAACGGTTATTTTGAAATGTTTCTTTATTTTTAAATAATGACACTTATAATTATAACATATCACTTTATTACATCTAATATTTATAGTTAACATATTTAAAATTAATGTTTAAAGTTAATAATAATAAAGTTTATAAAAAGATTCAATGCAATATTTATGCGGAGAGGCAGTTGGCGCACTCAATCTCATGCCCAGCTGTTGCTTATAATGTTGTGTGGGATCTGAAGAAGTAATACGCAAACAAGTATACGGTATACACTGCTGCACCGCCGAAGTTGATTATCTGATGCAAATGACTGCTTTAATGTAACGTTTGTAACCTAAGACATCTATAGCTCCGTTAACGGTCAGTTTCACTTTTAATTTTACTATCTAATACATTATGTATTATTTACAGTGGATTGAATGTGATTTAAAGCTTACTAGAAACTTCGAACACACTATCTTATATTCTGTATGTTACATCATTGGATGTATTGTCTGACGGTTGCCCATTATGACATTTATATAATTATTTATCTTCTTAAATAAATTATACATTTATACATCCTATTTCTTACTATTATATATTATTTACAATTACATCTTTGTTTAAATTTGTTTAGTCCACGTATCAATGACATGTTTAATGACATCAACAAGGATCGTTTATAAAACGGTTTATTAAAATTAACTATAAATATCATATTTGCTTATTATAAATGTTATGTAATATAGATTGTAAAATTTTGAAAAGAAAACTTTGTAAAATTAAATATAGAATTACAAATACATTGTTGCTTATTAATTAATCAATTTATCGGAAGATCGATTACATATAATAATTGATTATATTAGTTTTTAATCTATAAGGTTAAGAAATAAACTATATATTGTTATGAGGAAAATCTTAACAAATATTCTTATTTATCAAATAATTGTATAAATACCACAAAAGACACCAAATTTATATAGTTTGTTCGAAATTTTAATGATACAAATATTCGAAACACAAATCATAGCTAAAGGAACTTGCAAATTAAGAAATGTTTATTCTATTTTACACAACATATTTTTTAAGATAAAAACATCATTATGAATAACACATATTAAATAATATTTAAGGAAAATAATTATTGACTGATTTATTAATACTAAGTTGAATTATTAAACAAATATTTTAACCAATTTTATAAATACATTTTAATGAAGATAATAAATATAGTATATAAGAAGGAAAATATTAAATTTTTCATAATTAAATTTAAAGTTTTTAGTATCTTGATTGTTATATATTTGATTTTAACATTTTTATAATGATAAGTCAATTTTCATTATTGTGCTTTTTAATACTATTTAGTGTACATAGTATTATTTCAGGTGAAATAAATCTCGATTGCTATTATAGTAAGTATATACTTTACAATTTGAACACCAAAGTAATATATTTCAACAAAATTGTACCAGTAGATACATCCAATCAGATTTTAATTAAAAAATTTGCCAAGGGTCTTCAAACGTTGGGTCCAATTGTACTAAATATGATTAAAGAGATAGATGATAAACATAATTTCAAAAATATAAAAGAAATTACAAATCCATTTAAAAACTCGCAAGGATTATTATATACAAATTTTTATTTGAATAATCTTTCGAATACCTTATTATTACAAACGTATCAAAACGTAACAGTTCAAACTAGAGAATTAAGTGATCGAGAAATTTTTATAGACGAATTTAAGAAAATTTATCCGATATTATTTGAACAACTGAAACAAAACATTTTAGACGCATGTTATGAAGGTAAACAAATGAATTTCCCTGATATGGTCATTCAAGGACAATTAGTAGATGAAAATAATTACGATAATGTGTTTATTAATGATATGTTACCACCAAATAATGAAACTATTAAAACCTTATTCGATGAAAGTAACATTGAACTATCAATGAATGCAGTTAATGACACTGAAGTTGATTTAAGATATCGTTTTAAAATAAAAATTGAAGATGATTTACAGATAATTACTTGCTATCACCCAAAATCCATGTTGTTTTCCTATTTATTTGATATAAATAATAGATCTAATTTCAGTGAAATAATTGAAGTTCCAATTAATGAAAAACTAGAAAATGGAAATTATCCAAACATGGAAGTGTTGTTTGACATGATTAAACACACATTTGATGTTGACTGTGTAGAATCATTCCAACGCCAAATTGTAGCTGCAACAGTTTATCCATATTACATTTGTGTTGCTAAATTTGCACATTTATTGAACAAAATAATTTTTGGTAATTATATTTACGAGAACGAAATAATTACTAGAGTCGAGTGTCATAAGAAAAAACTAATACCTACAGTTGAAAATTTAATAAAAGCTATTCATGAATTAAGTATGATACACTTTATACCAAGTAGCGTTCGTGAACACATGGAATCCACTAATCAATTGTTATGGGGAATAAAAGAAATAGTTAAGACTCAACAAATTGATAAATTTGATTCAGGATTCATCGATCAACTTTATTTGAGATGTGCTCGTGTTATGGAATTTAATTTAATTCACTTCGAGACTGGAGTGAAAAACCCTAATATATACGACCATACCGAATGTGAAAAAATTATAACTCAGTTGGAGAATAAAATTAAAAATATTCAAACACTCACAAAAAATTTACAGAGTGATAAATCTCTTTACCAAAATTTTAAAACAACACTTCAATTTTTCTCCTTTCACAAAACATTTTCGGAGAAATTAAAATGTAACATTGTTCAAAAGAATAAACAAGGTATGCTTTAGTAACATTCATTTTAGCTTCGATGCAGAGCTCTCAGCTTTATCTTATCAGGGATAAATTTTACTATGATATGTTTTTTTTTTGTGTGTCTTTTATCACAATAGCAACGTAGCAGCTCTTTTTCAGCTCTCAAAGATCCTATTTCTTTCAACAATACATCCAAAGATTACAAATTTTATCTAATTGAAGACATTTTCCTTAAAAATTAAAAAAATTTCCTCGTTCCCTATAAATAGTGGAAATTTAAAAAAATCACAAATTTAAAAATCGCTAATTTTCGACATTTTTTCAATTTTTTTAATCTGTAAATTTTTTACTTTTTTTTCTTAAAACTTTCTATAACTCTTTGAAAAATTAACAAATCAAAATAAACTTTTTTAGGTGATTTATCACATACAAAACAAGTGATTACCCTCCTCTTGCTACTCATCTACCCTTACGGCCGTTGGTTTTCAGAGTTAACTCCTAATTCCAGTAGTTGTTCGGATCATTGGAATCTTCCAATTTATACCGAGAATATCCGCCACTAAAGCGTAGAAGATGTGGGAGATCGTGTCAAGTGGAAGTTTAGGATGAGGGTGGCCGACCCCAAGTAGTTGGGATTAAGGCAAAGAAAAAGAAAAAGTTTAGCAGAAATTCCGGTGGCAATTGACATAATATAATTGTTGTTTGGGAATGTACAATTTAGCGTTTAGTTGGGTTTAAACAATATAGCGTCAAATCAATTACCTACTTTATCAATTGTATCTTATTATACACTACACTTTAAAGATACTATAAATAAATAAACTCACACATACACACACACGCATTTATAACATTGTGTCTAATGTAAGTATAACATGATAAAAGTAACCGTAAAATGTAAAAAATTGGAAAATAAATTGTAGTACTCATATTAAATGTAATGCAACTCGAAAATTATTTGTTTAAATGAAAAAATATAAGATATCTTTTTTGTTTAAAATTGTCTTTTAAACAACTTTTGTACGAAACTTTTTTTTGTAAGTTAAATATTTTTTGAGAAAATGAAAAAAGCTCATATTTTTTAACTTTTGTGAGGCTGTAAAAAAAAAAGCTCAAGTCCAATCGATGAGGACTTTTAGTATGCCATTAAACATACCTTAATTCAACTTAAAAAAAAAAAAATTTGGTTGGGAATTTTTTCCGCCATTCGCCAAAATTACTCCTTCGTTGACTGGCCTATATAGGGAATCTTATAACATAAATTCAAAAATTTTAGGCATAATAATGAAAAACAAAAATGTATATACATAATTTCAACACATTTTTGGAGAAGCTTTTAATAGTATGTATGTTAGTAAAAAGTAGCTTAAACCGTAGGATGGCTAGTTGTGCATCACACTAGAATGCCGTCTTGTCTTAAGCCTGTTTAAAATCGCTATATGACCGAGTGAGAAGGTCACCTGGGTGAATTTCAGCCTACCGCACATCCAATAAATGACGTGTAGACAATAATTATATAAAAATAATAAAACAAATATATTAAAAGTTCTGCGATAAGTAATTTAAAAATTAAAGAACGTTGGGGAGTGTCTTTATTAGTAAAATGAACGACAAAACAGCTATGAATAAATATAAAATATATAAAATAAGACAAACAATTAAAGATTTAGCTGTATAACATAGAATATATTAATGATGAATAACGACGGTGAGAAGTGGACTGTATGTATGCTTTGCGTTAAAATGTTGAAGATATAAAAGAATTGATGACTACACGAGTAGACGCTTAAGAAGTAAATACTTCAGTAACGGACGGGGCCGACTAATAAAGAAGTGCACAGTTATGAAAGCTCGAAGGAGCCAAGGCACAACAGAATGTGTAAAAAACAATAAAATATATGGCGCACAATAGACAGAAGCGTTTGTTGTGTATAGAAAGAATAAATATAGTTTAAAAGCGTGTTTTTTTATACTATATTTATTTTTCACTTTTTAGTTTCATGTTATGATAGTAGTTAAAATCAATATCATGGTTTTAACGGGAAATCCGGGTTTGATTCCGGAGAGGGAGTCTGAGAAACGGCTACCACATCCAAGGAAAGCAGCAGGCGCGTAAATTATCAACTCCCGGAACGTGGAGGTAGTGACGAAAAATGACGATATGGTAATCATCCTTTGTAATCGGAATGAATGCACTCTATATCTCATAATGAAAATAAAGCGTGTTAATATATTTTTTAATAGTAATTAGAATATATATATATATACATGTAATATCTATAAGGAATACATAAATATATGTACGTAAAGCGTATGGCACACGGGCGGTATTGGTCAGTCAAAATAAAAATTTGTGTATATATATATAATTGATGACATAAATGCTTGTACTGTTACGAAAACCAAAAATAAAATTATACAGGAAAATATTGTTGTTGGCGAGTGGTGAGTGGGGTGAGGTAAATGCGTTACGACTAGTGATGGACAGTTTCGAATATTATAAACTATCGAATAACTATTAGAATTGTTTTTATACAACCGAATAGTTAATTTTTGGCATAAGCTATCGAATAGTTTTAAAAACTTTTCAAANAATATTTTAAAATATCGTATAACTATTCGAATTGTGTTTATACAACCGAATAGTTTATTTTTAGCATAAACTATTCGAATATATTGTGTAACTATCGAATAGTTCGATAGTTACTATTCGATATTTCCCATCACTAGTTACGACCGTCTATTCTCAAGGCCATAGACGACGGGATACGCGAAAATAATAACACGTGGCGCGTGGTGAGTTACAAACAACAAACATGTGAAACTAATATAAGAATGTTAAAAACGTACAATATTATTCGTTGAGGAACGACGGTGGACTATACACGGCCGTCAATTTGCTGTGCTAAATGGTCGAGGGGGTAGGTAAGCAAAGGCGCTAGAGATCAACTGTCACACGATTGATGCGCTCAACGGTGTTTGTGATAACTGCTCCTCTAGGTTTTTGTTAAAGGCAATCTCAACCAAACAATGTATACTTTTGAAATTTTAGAAGGGCTAAGCTTCTTGAATTTATGAAAATTATCTGAACCAAAATATACAATACATAAATTACATAATAGGAATCACAATTTCCTGATAAAATATGTTGTCCAAAAAAAATAAAATTAAAAATACTTCCTTTTTTTGGTTAAAACATTAGTTCAGTAAAAATTATTACAAGTAACTAATCAAGTAGGTTGAAAACACTCTGGAGCAAATTAAAGCTAATTTTATTATGTCTATGGTGAATTGAATTGATCATTACAAAAACGACATGAGTCAGTAATTTGTTATAAAATTATTTATTACTATACTCAGTTCAAATAAATTTTTATTTTAATTATAACTAAAACCGTGTAAACATGTAAAATACAGATATTTTTTTTATTTTTACAGGTTATCTTATAATGAGAAAATAATAAGATTTTTTTAATTATTTTGAATATTAATAAACGAAGCACAGAAATCTTTAATAATTTAACCTTAAGTTACAAGATAATTTTTAAAATTATATTACATTTTGATTAAGTTTTATGTCTTTGTTTAGTTTTATTATTTTAATATATATTTTTAACTGTTTAAAAATAAAAACTGTACCATTTATTAAAAGTCTGTACACAATAAAATATGTTGATGCAATTTTTTGATATTCTGTAAAATTTGTAGCTACTGTTTTTAGTGAATATAATAAAACTAAATTTTAAAAATTGAAAGATTGTTTATTTTCGATCCTAAATAATTTCTTTAACATTAAATTTATTGCACATAGTACTTACAATATGTGCCGTGATTCAATTAAAAATATAATATTGAATTTTTTTACATTTTATTTTTTAGTATCAAAATAAAAATATTATTGACTTAGGTATTTTTAAAAGAAATTAAGATTTGTCGTGTTACACAAAAATTTGAGACCAATGATATTTATTGTATTTACTATTAAAAATTCAAAATTCATTCAAATAATAATAAATTAATTAAATTAGTAATAATTAATAACAGTTAAAACCGAAATCAAACCCTAGACCATAGTATCAATAAATAAAAACCAAAACCTATATTTAAAAAAAATAAAACCTAAACCCTACATTAACCCAATAAATTATTTCGATTTCGAACCCTTGTTTACATTTAAACATTCATTCATATAGTTAGTTAGTATAACTACTATATATATTAAAAATTTCATTTGAAAGATGAACAAAACAAACTTTGCCCCCTCGTATTAAAATTAAAAAATGATATTAACTAATATAAATTTCTCTTCAGAATTCAATTAATATGTAACGAGAAAAACACTTTTTATAAAAATTACATAAATCATAAAAACTTATAAACAAAATTTACAAATATCTATATTTTTCATTTTATTTATTTAATTGAAAATGACTAATCAACCATATACAAAAACAGATCAATAACTCAAGGTTTATGAAAAAACAAATGCGCAGATGAAAAATATATTAAAAATTAAAATAGTAATTACAAACTATTACGAAAAATTTATTTTAAAGTATGTATAAAACAAAATGATTTGATATATTTACAATTAAAATCTTTAGAAATCACAAAATAAACTAATATAAGTAGTATAAAAAAAGTATACCATAAACATATACAATCACAATAATAAGGCACATTATAATCACGCGCGTGGACTTTAAAAAAAACAATTTTGCTATCCCTCATCTGACTCCTTTGAAATAGTATAAATTTTAGTTTTTTAAATGAAAACATATAAAACCAACTTACAAATACGAATATGATCCAATTAAGAAAATGATTGACCAATAGCAACTTTTGAACTAGTATTATAACTTAGTATATAACTAGTAACGTAGAACGGAAAAAGTATTACAGTTCATAAATATCCAAAGATATAAATAAACAGACTTACGCTTCACTTTCATTCTTTATAGTGTCAATTACTTCCAAATTACTCGTTTAAAAGTTGTTAACAAAAGTCGATTTAATGATCCCATTAAAAAAAAAAGTATGTCGAATGAAAGAAGTATGTATAAAGTATATATCATTAAAAAATAAAGTTGATTCATGCGTTTTTTAAAAAGTTATAACAACATAATATTAAAAAATGTAAAATATAATATCAAGAATTTTTTCACAAAAATAGCATATTTTTGCACACGGTAATCATTTTACAAGTCCAGAGGTCAAATTTTTTTTTTCAAATTAAAGTGTATTATATTAACTTTAATTTAAGGTATATATAATAGTGTCAGTCTTTCCGGAACATTTTCAAAAGATAAGTTAAAAAAATTCATTTTTTGTAAAAAAGTTACCATTTTGTAACTTTTTCCTGTGGGCTGTTAAAGGGTCAAATGTTCATAAAAATAAATAAAACGATAGGTAAATACCTAATTAACCTATAAAAAAAAAAATATGTATTGAGTCGGTCATTTTTAAAACAGTTATGGCAATTTTAAGTAAAAAAAAATAGAAAAAATGTCGAAAAGTAGCGATTTTTAAATTTATAATTTTTTGGAGGATTTCCCCCGTTTACGGTGAACGAGGGATTTTTTTTTCAATTTTTGAGGGTAATATCTTCAATTAGATACGGTTTATGATCTTTTGATATATTGTTCATCAAAATCGGTCCAGCAAGAGCTGATATTGAGCGTTCACAGACACAAAAAAAAAACACATTATAGTAAAATTAATACCTTCTCAGCTTCTCATCGAAGCTAAAATTAAACTCTACATATAAAATATAAAAATAATTAAATCAAATTAGTATCATCAGGAAAATCTTCAAAACATTTATAATAGTACTTAGTTACCCTCTCATGCTCTTTGCAAATCGGTAATTTGCATTTTGAACAGGAACTCGTTGTCTCTTTGTCCTTCTTTCAAACGCAAAAGTTGTACCGCTTATATTTTTTAGAACCTGTCAGAGGCTGCTCTGTTGCAGAAGGAGCTGCTATATCCAAAACCTTCCGAATGTCACCCCTAAGTGTCCTAGGGAGCTTCTCATTATTGATTCATTGTCTCATAAAAGGTTCTGAGTTGAAATGCAAAGTTTTTCAAAAAACTGGCTGAATTGTAACGCGCCCCATCTCCTTTCTTTAGCAAATATAAAACATAGCTATTATAACCAGCTCTATTAAGAATTCAGAAAAAATTACGCATTGGCCAACGTCTCAATTTCCTCTTGGTCGTGTATGAGTGACATAACTTGTCAAAAACATCTACACCTCATTTAGACAAGTTGTAAAATTCAACTATTTCTGGCTTTTCTGTAGTTGTATTTACTTCTCCTCTATCGTGCATTGTGCTCAATAAAATGACGTTATTATTACTTTTTTTTTATTGTAGGAAACCAATGTTTTGTCTGGCTGGTATACAAACCTTGACGAATGCAATGGTATACACCACTACTGACTTGTAAAAATTTTCTGCCTGCTGTGTGATTTCTTCATTGGTGTATTGGACAAGTTTATCCAATATAAAATCATCAAAAAAACAGAAAAACAACGCTGACTCATTATTTGCAGTCTTAGCAGGGCCTCTTGGTCCAGGAAGATGGCTTACGAGATTCCGTGCAGGAACTCTAGTTTTCTTATTTTTCAAGGTTGTTGTGGTCCATATCGTTTCTTCAACTTTCCCCTAAATAAAAATTCTATCTTCAGATGAGATCGGCAGATTAGCGTCTATATCACCTTCATCGATGACGAAAAAATCGTCAGGTACGTTGTCATCATTTGGCAATACCAAATATTCATCCTCGTTCTCTTCTCCTTCATTATAAATTGTTTCCCTTTACCTTTCATTATTGTCAAGCCTATGCAGCTCTGCCAAAATGTCCTCGGAACAAGTGAACAATCGTAGTCTTTTAGCCATTTGCACAAAATATCATGAAAACTGAGAATAAAATATATAACCCAGCACAGGGGCGTCACAGCACATTGGTGACGTGGCATAGTTGGATCAAGTATAATGATATCTGACAGTGATTAAAATCACTATCATAAAAAACGCTTCGATGCAAATCTTTAGATAGTATTTAATTTTAAAAAATTGATGGATTATTCCAAATGCTACATGATCTGCTAGTTCCTTATTAATATCCTGATTAAGATAAAGTATGTCAAATAAATACTACTTCTCATGACAAAATTGTACTGATCCCACCCCAACACGTTTTTTTTTTTTTTAGAAAGTAAAAAAATTGAAGGCAATACTGACCATGAAATACGATGTTACTGCACCAACGTCCACAAGATAACTGATAACGAGGCTACTGATATCCTCACCACTACCTAATGTATTATACCACGCACGCGCATGAAAACAACTCCTTGGGGTGCGCAAAAAACCTTTCTTGTCGTGTGAGGGTTAATAAATCATAAGTGTTTTTCACAGTGTCTCTTCACTTGTTGACCAGCCAGTCTAAACTCTGCCGTTTTCCGAAAAGAAATAGTGCAAGCCATGAGAGTGTAGGACACTACTATAATCTATCGAGCAAAGATCTGAAATTGAGCTCGTATCTATCCTTGATGACTTTATGGGTGACTGAAAATACATAGGCCACTTGGAAATAGTTAACTGCACAGGGTAGTAATGCTGTTAAGAATTTTATTATTGGAATAACAAATTGTTAATGTTGGTGAGCGGGATTATTAACCGTTAAAAAATCGAACGCTCAATTAACCTTTTTTTATGATATAATTTTTTTTAATTTGTTTGATTAATGTAATGAATATTAAATTTAACATGAATAAATAAAATGTACAAAATATTTGTTCCTTAATTTTATTTATAATTAAAACTTACATGAAAATATTTAAATACAAATGTAACCTTGATTAATATTGGAGCGCGTCGCTGATGGTTCAGCGGTGGAACGTACACTGATTAGACTTAATACTAAAAGACATATTGCTGACCAGCCAAACAAAGACAAAAGACCATACTATAGTGTGACTCGCGCTAACATACCGGCCACCATTTTACACTTGTAAAATCAAACAAAATAATTGAAAATATAGTATACAAACATGATCAAATTCAGAGATAAACATAAATTTAAATAAATAATTAATAATAAACATAAAAATTTTTAGATAAACAATTTTTTTTTTTTAAATAAATATAAAATTAAATAATTAATTAATAATAAACATCAAAAATTTTTAGATAAACAAAATATAATTTTTTTTTTTTTGACGGGCGTACCAAAAAAGGCCGGCCGGCTGTTATTAGATTACAAAAAAAAATTATGATATATATACATAGATTGTCAACATACCGGCCACCATTTCACCATACAGGTAAAATAATAATAATAAATTTAACTAAATAATGAAAATAACATTTGAAAAATAATAATAATTAAATAAGTAAATTAATATCACAATATTCGAATTTATAAAAAAAAACAAAAATAAAATTAATAAAAATACTTATTCAACTATTTGAAAAACAGTTTTATTTTACATAATATATTTAATGTACAACATTCTACAAACTTGACTACTCCTCATCGAGTGGCAAAGGGCATAAGGTTCGGACTGCCCTCTTGAATTCCCCTCTATCTGTTTTCACCATAGCTACTCTGGCAATATTGTCATTCCCAAAAAAAATCTTTGAAATTCTTCCGAGCCTCCATTGAAGTGGAGGCAAGTTACATTCCTT